GGCCCATGTGCATAAGGTTTTTAAGAGTCAGGAATTTTCTTTTCTTTTAAAGCCTCTTGAAAACTATATTAGGCTTTACACTACTTACTTGTAGAAAGGCATATATATATATATATATATATATATATATATATGACATGTTGGTAGATGTAAGTGAAGCTGCAGTAGTTGGGTTCATCAATCAAATGCCTTAAGAAGCAGGGAATGAGAGAAGAGGGTCAGTGACAGTCCTTCAAACTGCGGAGTGGACGTCTCCTCAAAAAGGATCATCAGGCAGCAAGTAAAACATTTTTACGGGTCAAAGTGACCCAGTGTGGTGCCACAGACCTTAGGCTGAATGTAGCCCTAGCAGAGATGCCCACAGGAGTAACAGCCTTGGTTTGCTTGGAACTAAATGTGCTCCTCTCAGATTTAAAGCTGAGAAGTAGACAGCCCACACAAACAACACTCACTGTGGGATGTAAGACTGAACAGTACCGAAAGAAGGGATATTCCATATTCACCTCCTAAATGGGGAAGCATGCAAGTAAGCAAAAGCATGGCTACCATGGAAGTTCCTAAGAGGCTAAGCCATTCTTAGCCTCTTGAAGATGTCAGCTCTGAGAGACTCCAGATCACATTTAGCTTAAAGGGCTACGGCTCATAATATAATTCTCTACGGACAATTCTAAGAATATCTTGGGATATAGGATGTGCCCAGAAGGCTTGAGATCCCGACCCATACACAGGAGGGACATTTTGACAGAGGTATACAACTACCTTGATATAAAATACATGGGTCCTCTGGTAGGATTTTTTGGTGCACTTTCAATAGTTTTCAGTTTTAAATAGGAACTTATTTTTCTTTAAAGCACAAAAATTATACATACATAAAAAACAAAAACATTAATGTGTCTTATTGCAGAACTGAGGTGCAGAGAAGTTTAAGAGTTTTCCACCTGAGACATGTCTCCCCAAGGTGGTCAGATTAGAACTCTGTTCCTACTATTGCTCTCTGCTCTAATACTGGGCCCATATTTCCTCAAACAAAACCCCTGCTAATGAAAAACTGGAGTCCTGGTGTGGCACTGTGGGCTAATGTGTCAGACTGCAAAGCCATTTGAACTGCAAGATTGTCGGTTCAAGCTCACCAGCTGCTCCTCGGAAACCCTCTACAGGGTCTCTATGGGTCAGAACCAACTCAACGGCACTTAACAACAACAACTGAGAAATTATGTAGCACCTCTACTCTATTAATGAATTATGCCAATCTAGTGTATGCAAAGGCTCTGGCGTCACATATTTGGGTGGGAATCTCATTTTGGTACTGCCATGGTTTCAGTTGTTTCCCCCCAAAATATGTGTCAGCTTGGCTGGGCCATGATTCTCAGTGGTTTTGTAATTATGAAATGAGGTAGTTATGTGATGTTCCCCCATGATGTGATCTGATGTGACAAAGTAGTAAGAGGATTAAGGGTGGGATGCAATACTCTTAATATCATCACAGCCCTGATCCAGGATAAGGGGTTTCCCTGGGGTATGGCCTACAACACCTTTGATCTCACAGGAGTTAAAAGGAGAGAGAAAGACATCTACAGCCACCAAGATAGTAGAGCTGGAAGTGGAGCATAATTTAGCCATTGGGTCTCCATGCTGTGAAGTTCTTAGGCCCAGGGAAGACTGATGCCAAGCCACGGGGAAATCGCCAAGGAATGCTGGGCCCGCAGATTTTAAAAGGAGACAAGGACCTTTCTCCAGAACCAATCAAGAGTGGCAACCTTTTCCTAAGAACTAGCACTCTGAATTTGGACTTCTAGCCTCCTAAACTGGAAAAGAATACATTTGTTTGTTGAAGCCATTCACTTGTGGTATGTGTGTTGTAACAGCAATAGGTACCTTGTAAGCTGTGTGTAACTGAGGGCTTCTATATACTAAAGGGCTAGGGTGAGGGATTATTTTACAGTTTTACAGTATTAAAAAGGAACTCTTTAAAGCACAAATATTACACATATATATTAAAAAAAACTATTATGTTTGATATTAACGAACACCCCTTTTATTGCAGAACTGAGGTACAGAGAAGTTCAAGAGTTTTCTACCTGAGACTTATCTCCCATGCTGGTCAGATAAGATTATTTATTAGACACAGTACATATTTTCAATACAGATTCCATTTTTTTCCTGACTCCCAAACCAATAATCCAGGATAAACGTCTTAATTTTGGAATAAGACTACTTCATTTATATTACAAATGGATACCTATAAAAAACAGATGACAAGTGTTGAATTTGTTTGCAGTTTTGTAACAAATCATGGTGACATTTTGAGGTGTTTTTTTTTTTTTAAACATCAGTTGAGTTATTTAACACCAACCAATACAATTTCAAGCGTTACATTCTCTGTGACCAACAGACCTGCCTCAGATCTAACAACATTTCATGTAACACAGCTGCAAAACCTCAGCTAGCAATAATTGGTGCTAAAGTTAAATAGTATCAGCGTACAAAACCACCTCCAAATTTTAAAATGCTTTTGTCATAATTTTTAGCAAAACTATTTAGCCTTCAGAGTACTGAAATACTCCTTCATCTTACTTTACAAACAAGTTTATTTTGAACACTTACCAGAATTGCAGTGACTACTGATTTCCAGTAAAATTACCAGGTTCTCTGGAATCAAGAGTTTGTTGGTCTCCAAAGTGAATGTCCAATTGGGGTTTCTCTAGCTTGTATATTTTGAGTGCAGGGCATATTTGTTTGTCATAAAGTATTTAGAGCTCATAAAAATGGGAAGAGGATCCTAGGACCATCAAGGGAGAAGAGCATGAGTGGAATGTGAGACCCTATCCAAAGAAGCAGAATGATAAAAACAGCAAACTATGCACCTGCAACACTGTGTGTAGTACATATTACTAATGATAAAATGTAAAACGAAAACCCATACAAGCTTAAGTACAATTCAGTCTGACTTGAATAAACCGTAAGTCTGAACTACCTGGAACAAGATATCTGTCTCTTTTTTTCTTCTACTCTGAGATGGTCTAAATTGTTGTTGTTAACTGTCATGGAGTTTGTGATTCAAACCAACCTTGCAGTCCAGTGCCTACCCTACAGTGCCACACCAAGACTCTGACAAACTACAACACAAGGGCCTGCTTTTGTAACTCAAGTTTTACAGGGACACAGCCACAATGACTCGTTTACTTGCTGTCTGTGGTTCTTTTGCTTCAACTTCAGAGTTGCATAGATGTAATCCAGACTGTATGGTGCTCTGCTGTGCTAGGAAATATTTTCAAATGAGATGAACAGTCTAATTGTTATTTTAAAAAAGGGAAAAATAACCCTATGCTATTTCAAAAAGATATTTTATAGGATTTCTTTTAACCACAACAACCCCGTGTAGGGTTTCTGAGGCTGTAAATCTTTACAGGAGCAGAAAGCCTCATCATTCTCCCATGGATAGGCTGGTAGTTTCGAACTGCTGACCTTGAAGTTAGCAGCCTGATTCGTAACCAGTATGCTATTAGAGCTCCTTAACCACTAAGAAACAACAAAAACTGCATCTTTTGGATTTTATAGTGGTAAATTCTATGATTTAGCAATAAAGAAGTTAATGTTAAAAGGGATGGCGCTCTCTGGTGTGCCTGTGAGAGTATCTGGAGGAAGCAGGAGCTCCCAGTGTGTCTGGCATCACACCCTGATATTAATCAGTATGTCAGGATGTTTTTCACACTTCACCATCCACTCTTCTCTAGGCCTTCTACAGCCACACACCTCAAAGAGCCTGCAGGTCAAAGCCAGTGGGACTTACCGATGTCACTGAATTTGCTGACCACAAATGGTAGCGTTTACTGCTTCCACTAAAATTCTGGAGGAAAATAAAACAACACTTGACAGGTGTTACAATCACAATTTTAGGAGGAAAAGAGAAGTAATTTTAGATGTGGTTGAACACAATGATCAGCTCAGTTTTCACTTTCACTAGGAGGCTATTTTTAGAGTGACATCGTTTAATTGTTGAGGAAAGACGGCTGTTATAGAAAGGATGCCTATGAGAGAGGAACGTCCAGACAGTGTGTAAAATGATACATACCTCCCGAAACAACCATCAGACCATTAGGTTATTAGCAGATCTGCAGACAATCCACACACTAAGCACCTCAACGCCAAAGAATTATGAGCAATTAAAAACTACACTTCCACCTGTAATTGAGTTAGACATGTACGACTGCACACAGGGCTCTGGTGGTCATCAAGGACACAAAGCAGACACACAGGGCCCCCAGAAGTGCATTGATCAGCCACAGTGATTTATTGAGTGCCTTAATAATACAAGTGTACATCAACTGATCCACAGTCAAAAGTGGCAGGTCCCTACGAAATTTACAAGCACTTTAAGTAAATCAAAATACATATTATTTTGTTCACTCTAAGTCTTCTGCGTGGGGGACAGAAGGCTAGTGATAAACAGAGTCTCCATAATGCACAGTGATTCTGATTTAAGCTTTTGTACAAAAACTTGTTCCCAGTAGCATGCACCCACCAATAAAGACTTCAGTACAAAAAATTAATCCTAAGCACTACATTTAAGTAGAAACAAGATATAATTCTGATTTCGTGTTTTCCCGAAGATTGCATAAAAGGAAAAAAAAAATCAAAATAAACAACAAGAAAAAAAAAACAAAAACAAAAAACCAACCCACACAGTAATACAAAGCTTTGTAAGAAAGCTTTTACTATTACAGGTCCAACTTTTTTTTTTGCACTGAAAACAAAAAGTTTCCATTTACTTTGAGCTGGGGAAAAAACAAATCCAAATCTTTCAAGTTAGAAATCAAAAAGAGAATAAAAGGGAGGGAAGGAGTAGGTAGGAGGGGAATAGATGACATACCATCACAGAACAGTTTAAAATCTAATAAAAATAAGAAAATAAGAACCAGGGTTGGGCAGGGTGGGCGGGGTTATTGATGCACTTGGTGAATGTGCTTGCACAGGTCCGGCGGGAGGCTGGCAGCAGGCCCCTAGGTGGCGTACCGTTTGGTCCACTGTCTGGCCATCCGGTCATGCTCCGCTCTGTTGGTCATGTACTGCGTGGCAATGCTCCCTACCAGAGGGTCAGCTGAAAGGGAAGCAGAGTCGGGAGTCAGTAAGTACCAGCTTTTCTCCTTCCTCTTTCTAAATAGTAAAGAGTAGCATCTGGGGAGGGCAGAAAGCTACTGTTGGAACCTCAACCAATGCCACAGTAGTCAGACCACCAACAGCAGAGACCACATTTCACACCAGCTGCTTTCGCTTTTACAGATACCGCTCACCACATTTATTGACAAGTCTCAGTCTCCTTCCCTCTCCCTGCTCCCCTTGTGTTTTTCAGTATTTCACTGAGAAAATTCAGGAGCTGTATGTTGTTGTTATGAAGTGCTGTCGAGTTGATCCCAACCCATAGCGACCCTGTAGAGGGTTTCCAAGGAGCAGCTGATGAGCTTGGACCACCGACCTTGCAGTTCAAACGACTTTGCAGTCTGACACATTCGCCCACAGGAGAGGACAACTCAAGGGTCCTTGATGGACATCCCTTGAGAAATATGAGGCGAATGAGGCCGCTTCAAAAAGTTTGAGGAAAAAGAAGAGGATAGAATAATGAAATTTTCCAGACTTTTTGAAGTCCCCTCGTAGCAGGAAAATACCATAGGTGAAGTCCATGGTGCAAACGGTTACTATGACTGAAAGGCTGGAGGTGTGAGGCTCCGGGAGGCTCCTTGAAAGGTAAGTCTAGTGACCTAAACCTGGAGCAGAGTTCTGCTCTCATCTACATGGGGTCGGTCTCCATGAGTTGTAAGGGACTTTGATGACAACTGGTAAGGTACTGGGAGTAGTACTACCGCAGTAGTGGCACTCTCCCCCGTTTTACCTGCTCTGAGGAAATGTTCAGAGCCCCAGCTGAACACAATCAAGAAGCTGTTAGAAACCTAAGGACCTAGGAGAGAAGCAGGATACATCTATCTCAAAGTTATTTGGCAATATAAAAATCCATGTAGAATAACTCATTATAAAAATATTGATTGTTGTTGTTGAGTACTGTTGAGTGGATTCTGAACCATAGTAACCCTGTATAGGGTTTCCTAGGAGCAACTGGTGAGCTTGAACTGCCAACGTTGCAGTTCAAATGGCTTTGCAGTCTGGCGCATTAACCCACAGTACCACATGTTAATAAAATCTAACACTTGCTGATTTACCATGTTTTAAAACTTTAACGCATTAACCACACAAATCTCTGAGGGGGGTAAGAAAAATGAAGTTAAACAAGTCACTTTCCCAAGGTGGAGTGAGAGGGGGAGCAGGGCTCTGAGCCAAAGTGCGCACTTTTAACCAAAGGCTCCTTGGGAGATTGCTCTCTACCCAGAGAGAAACAATGTCTAATGAAAATCAAAAGAATACAAAAATAAAAGTAATTTAGGTTCTTGTAGATCCCAGAATAAATCCCTCCCCACCAAGTCTCTAATTTCACTCTGTCTGATCTTACTGTTTTTAGTGTTGAGCATGTGAGTTGGTGGTTGCTAAATGCCATCAAGCCAGTTCCTACTCATAGCGATCAATCCTTATAATGCGGTTTCAAAAGAGTGTCTCATTGGGCCAAACCACCTATTTTAACAGTTAGCAATCCAATGATTATTGTATAGCATCACACCAGGATTCCTGTGAGTGTGTTGTTGTTGTTGTTAAGTGCTGTTGAGTTGGTTCTGACCCATAGCAACCCTGCATAGCGTTTCAAGAGCAGCTGGTGAGCTTGAACTGCCGACCTAGCAGTTCAAACCAACTTTGCAGCCCAGCGCATTAGCCCATAGCACCAGAGGAAGTATATAAAAAGAAACCAGAAGGAAGAGCAAAAGTAATAAACACTAAAATATATTTAAAAAGATAAAACAAAGAAAAGAAAAAGGAGAAAGCATAGAATATACAAGTGTACCTGTGTTCTAATACCTCTTATAACTTGGCAAGATATTCACAGTTAGATCTTCTCAAAATTAAAGGCCTAACTCCTTTTAGTTGATGTGCTGGGCTGATGATATGAAAGCTTTGAAAGCTCTCTCAGTAAGAACTTGCTTCACTTTTGTTGGTTGTACATTAAGCTTCTTATAATTATCTTAGAGAGAGGGCAGTTTCTTATATTTACCTAAATCACAAACCATTAACAGAATTCCAGATATATGGGTTTGTTAAAAACTTTTGTCTTACTACCACCTCATGTGGCTTTTTTCCCTTTAACCACTAAGTACAGAAACCAAAATGCCACCACTTAATCAAGACTAGCCAGAATTAAAGATGATTTAAACCAGGGCTTTGAAATGGTTCATGATGGTTTGACTTTTGTTATTAAGTGCTGTCGAGTTGGTTCCATTTTAGAGCAACCTTGTATAGTGTTTCCAAGGAGCTGCTGGTGGTTTTGAACCCCTGACCTTAGGGTTAACAGTCTAGTGCAGATCCTACAGCACCATACCAGGACTCCACTACCCCCTGAGAATTTACATTTCTATTCTAGCTAAACTGAATCAGACTGTACATTTTGACAAAACCCTTAGGTGATTCTTACAGATCCTCAGGTGATTCTTATTGTATACATAAGGACCATCTGGAGATCTTATTAAAATATAGATTCTGATTCAGTACATCTTCGGTGGAAATGCAAATGAATCAGACTGTACATTTTGACAAAACCCTTAGGTGATTCTTACAGATCCTCAGGTGATTCTTATTGTATACATAAGGACCATCTGGAGATCTTATTAAAATATAGATTCTGATTCAGTACATCTTCGGTGGAAATGCAAATTTCTCAGGAGGGGTTGAACTGGAGTGAACTGGTTTGAAGCCCTGATGTAAACCAGCAAATGCTTAATGTACACATAAAATATCTAGAAATTGGCCAAGACACATCTTTTTGGTAGTGAAAATTTTATAAAAAATTTAAGTTCAGCAATTTCTACTATAATTCAAGTTGTACAACCATTCTTACTATCTAAGATGTACTTCTGTAAAAAATGTAGTCCTTTGGCTAACACTAAGTAAAATTAAGCTGGTGTAGCTCTGTAGGATAAGCACTGGATCACAAAGTCTGTTTGAACCGTAAGGTTGAAGGTTCAAACACATCAGCTGCTTCTTGGAAACCCTATATATGAATCGGAACCAACTCTATGGAAGTTAACAGCAACAACAAAAAATAATGATTTAGAGTTCAAAGGACCAAAGCAAGGCCTGAGTCATTTCTCTACACTTGAAAAACTTATGTTCTACTTCCCAGAAGTGTCAAATATAAAGCTCAGGGTGAAGGTTGGGTATCCTCACCAGCTTAATTTTACATGGTTTAAGACAGAAAAAAACCTACATAAGGGGCAAAAGGAAGTTACAAAAGTGAGTTGCAGAGCTGGTACTACAATTAACATGCATGATGAGATTTTTCTTTTGCATGCTTAAATAATTAACATTTAATTTCTTTAGCATTTCTTTTATCTTTTCAAGTTTGATTTTCAAGAGAAAACGATTTTCCTCCTGTAAAATTATACATGCTATGAAAGCAAAATCAGTAACGATTAAAAAATTCTTAGACAATATACACGACAGTAGTGCTACGTGAAGAATGTCTGTAAATTCGCTCAGAGAACTACAGTTAACATTCTGATGTATATCTTCAGGAATGGTTTTCCTACACATACAAAAAATAAACTGAAATAAAACAAGCTTAGAGTCTGTTTATCTAATCTTTTCAAAAGTCACTTTTTATATCAATGATTAATAATCTATATAATTTAACAGTCGCCTCATATAACAAGAAATTAATAACCAATTTCTTGTTTATAGACATTTGGGTTCTAACTTTCTGTAATTATAAAAATTCTATGAGAAAATTATTGCACATGCATCTTTGCAAATTTATGCAAATCTTAAATTTGTTTATTATGTGAAAGAATTAAAAAGATAATAAAATGAAGACATTTAAAAAAAATCACAATTCATTAACCATACAGTTCTTAATGCTGAAATGTTTTTCTGAATAAAAGCAAGTTAGGACTGCAAGTAACTAAATGAGAACTCTGCAAAATTTAACTGTAAACCAATGACTATCACAGTAAATTTAATGCAAACAAGACCCTCGTTTTGTAGTGTCTTTGTAGTTATGATCCTAAGTAAGGCAGAATCTTACTGTTGCTGTTGTAGGCTGCCATTGAGTTGGTTCTGCCTTACTGCAACCCCACGTACAACACAGTGGAACACTGCCTGGTCCTGTGCCATCCTCACAACTGTTATGCCTGAGCCCATAGTTGCTGTCACTGAGGCAATCCATCTCATTGGGGCTCTTCCTCTTCTTCATTGACCCTCCACTTATTAGGGTTTTGTATGTCATGGATACAGATAACTGGGGGCAAAATAACAATCAGGCTGCGAACTGCAAGGTCAGCAGCTCGAAACTACCAGCTGTTCCGCGGGAGAAAGATGAGGCTTTCTGCTCCCGTAAAGATTTACAGCCTTGGAAACCCTGTACAGGGTCGCTATGAGTCGGAATCCACGGCACATAACAACAACAAATGTAAATTACTCGACTCTATTTCTTTAAATTTTCTTTTTGGAAAGGATGGATGTTCCATTATTTTGGATTCTAAACTGCTACTACTTTCCTTTCCTAAATCTATTAGCCTGTCAATGGAACAAAACACTGCTTGTTCCTGTACCATCCTCACAATTATTGCTATGCTTGAGCCCATTGCTGCTGCCATTGGGTCAAACCATCATGTTGGTGGGGGGGGTCGCCGTCTTTTTCGCTGATCCTCCACTTTATCAAGCACTATGTCTTCCTCCAGGGGCTGTTCTCTCCTGATAATATGTCCAAAGTATGAGAGATAAAAATCTGGCCATCTTGGTTTCTAACTAAGGAGCATTCTGGTTGTACTTCTTCCAACATGGTGCCTTTAATGTTGTTATTGTTAAGTGATGTCAAGTCGGTTCTGACTCACAGCAACCCTGTACAGGGTTTCCAAGAGCAGCTGGTGGGTTTGAACTGGTGACCTTGTGGTTCAAAGTCCAGTGCTGATTCTACCATGGTACACCCGCAGTGCCTTTAATATTCTC